ATTAACAAGGAAAAAGTGAATGCGGCACTACTCATCAAAGTGAAATGAAACATTATGACTGCAGCTGTTTACAGTTTTGAAAGTGAATAATATTAGTTTATTAGTGCATAGCTTTTAGTCCATTTCTATTTCTAATGTGTGCATGGTGTGGCTGTTGAAATTATTCTTATTATTATTGTATTCGCAAACTAATGCCTGGTTCCCACTACATTACATTTCTGTCTGTTCTGACAGTCACTTTGTCACATTAGGCAATTGTGGAGTCATAAAATCGTGCCGTGACTTGGCCAACAGACATGACACACTACAAAATGGTCCACACCAATCATCCCCGGTCTTCTTTTACGCCGTGTGTGATGTCATAGAGTTATTCTTGTCCTATTTTTATTACTTTATCTATTATTTCAGTCACTGTGGCTGTTCATGTTCCAGCCAAAATGTTGTTGTAGTAACGTAAAAAGCTGGCAGGAGCTACGCATAAAGTACTGTATACAAACAAGCAAGTCACTGAATCCTCCACAACAAGTTCCTGCAAATGTTTCACAATAAAAGCCTTTTTAGAAAATGAAGGGATTCTCTCAACCGAAGTTATAATGGGCTTTTCATTTTATGCAGGTACAGGAAGTGCTGAGTTTGAAATGACTGCGCAATGCATTAACTTTATCAAAGCAAACTGGAGTGGATAATAGGTAAAAATATAAAAATACAGAAAGAATAATAAATAATGTCCCCTTTATGATGTAGTCTGTTTCAAATGAAGCTGGAAGCCTCTGCAGTTGTGGTGAGTTAAAGCCCCGCCAATGCTTTTTAATTTTCTTACTTTATGTCCGTCTCCATTATGAAGAAATAACATTGTTTGCTAGTTTGATGCTAATGGCAGTACTCACTGGGTTGATAAAGTGCTTCTGCTGTTTAATGCCATAATTTTTCCTTTTTTTATTCTGTTGTGGTAACATCCCCACAGGAAATACCTAAAAGGCTGGGGTGTTGATTGCCGTGCAGTTGTCTACAGCAGCAGATCGCTCTGTGTTTCAATTGCTTCTATTGGCTGTGCTGGGAGCCATCCTGAACGACAAATAGAAAGTCAAACATGCTAGACTATCTGTTAGATAGTCTAGACATGGCATCAGTTGTTGTCTACTATGACACACTACACGAGATGAAACGATGGATTATCGTGTACGACACTCTTTGTTGTTCATGATCCAAGCCAACACCACACGTTGCTGGGTCGGGCTAGAATCAGGCTATATGGTGTAGTGTGAACCATTCATTAGGGTTAAATCAGGGAGTCCTGCTCTTAAGTCAAGGGGAGGGTCCAAAGGAAAAAGTATAAGTATAGCATGGACAAGGGCCTTTAATTTGCCACCTGAATAATTTTCATACACTCCCTAGGATTGTTTCAGGTTGCAGTCCTTGTCACAAACATCCTGTGAGTTTGAGAAGCTCCATAAGATCTTATGATCATACTGTATGAGCAGTGACATGTTTCCGTAGCACTAATTTAACATGTCAGGATACAGCGATTAAACATCAGATCCCAGATGTGACATACTGGAGACACAGACTCCTCCTGTTTATTGTAAACATCATGTGATGTTTGCAGGCAGTGACTGTTGAGAGCAGAGTGTAAACAGAATATGAATGTGATGTGAACACAGGGACAGACTCAGAGGGGATGCTGAGACAAAGACATGAAAGGAGATGAGAGGCCCAGCTGGAAGGAGACAGAAAATACCCGAAGGTTAATTTGCAGATTTTCTCCTGAGACTCGAACAAACAACAGCTGCTTCTGTTTGATTTCAACTCTCTGTTCGCAGAAAAAATACTGTCTTCTGTGTCATTAAAGGTAAAAAAATAAATAAATCCAAGCAAATCGGATGTAGTCATGTCGTGGTGCAGTAATGTCAAAATCCTGTACATCACTTTGGGAGCAACAGCTAAGAATTCCTTTGTTACCTAGTGCGGACAACATAATAACTAGCAAGATAGTAACAACATATGAGTTAACAGTCCCTTACCACGACAGTAGGATCAAGCCTATACATCAATTTAAAAGACTAAACAGATGTTAACTCAAATTGTCTCTCTCAACAAATCCCTTTCTATCAATCCAGTCCATCATTTTGTCACCATCATCGTTAGATTTGCCATTAAATTGACATTACAAGGACAAAGAACCATGGATGTGTAACTTAGAGAACTGAACACACTTCAGAGAAAGTTAATCATCAAGACAAGTTTTCTTGCTGAGGTGCCAACGCAGATAATTCCTGCAAAAGAATGCTAGTCTGAGTCTCAGACCAAATCATGAATTAGTCTGGAACCTCTCACTCATTTTCGATTTGTAAAAGGGTGTTATAAATGACCGATGGTCAAAATGCCTCTGGACACACAAAACATGATGTCGCATTTAGCATTTAAAATGTAGCATTGCCTGCTGTAAGACTACAGCAAGCAGAGATGACCTGTGATGGTGTATTAAAAATATGTCTGGTACCGTTTCTACCGTCAGTATGTGAAGTATGTCAACAGAAAGTTTTAGATCAGCTGCAACCATCTTGGTTGTTTTTCCCAAATGCCTTATGTTGCTAAGTGGCAACCTCCAGGGCTGGAAAATGGAGCCAATGCAGAAAGTGCCCAAAACTGCAGTTCCTTGAATGGGCACTGGGGGCTGGCTCTAAAGAGTGAGTCATCCTTATTGTCCTCCATGTTAAAATGCCCAACTTTACAGAAGAAATAAACATGTTTACAGCCTGGTACAAAAAACTGTTTTCTATATAGCTAATCTTTGTGGTTTGGATTAAGTTTCTCTTTCTCTTACTTTAGATATCTGCTTTATTATACTGTTTCATGTTTGCTCCTCCAAAACTCAACATTTCCTTATTTTGCTGCTTCACAATAAAAGTTTTATTGTGAAGAATATATAGGAAATGAAATGTGTTTATCACTGAATTAGAAGAGCTTTATTAGCAGCTTTTATTCAATAAAGGCAAGTCTAATACTGCAGGGAAGAAGAGTCCAGGCAGAAACAGCCACAGTGAGATGTTGATGAAGAGCTGCAGACAACAAGCTCTTACTGAACCTCTACAAACAGCTCACCGCCAAAAGGTAAACTTCTCTTACCTGCCCTGCTGTGGAAAAAACACACGCAGCAAGAATAACAGGGGACTAAAGCTGTGGATCATCCCACTGCTTTTAAAGAATCATCACTCAAGACAAGCCGTCATGAGTTAAAGACACACCTTCAAGTCAGCCCTTTTGTAATGAAAATGCAAAACTCTGCGGTGCTGGGCTGACAGCCCAAACCAAACCAAGCCAAGCAAAGGCAGCCCATGACTGTCAAAAAGAGGTATAACTGTAGTTTAACCTCCGATTCACAGAGTATAGGCACAGCTGTAATGTGAGCTTTCGCTACTTTGGTGTGTTTTCAGTTTATGAAGTTTACATTAAGTGTAATGTTTCTCCTAAAAGTCTTGCTCAGCATTTGGTTGTACTAAGATATCCTCTAAGGAGTCAGATATTCAGTTTTTCCAGTTAGTACATTTTATCTTAAACGCATATTTTTTTTAAAAATGGCATTAGCATTCGAATTGCCCCAACTAACCATAGCTGTAAATGCACCATTCTAACCACAGGGTTCCCACACATTTTCATGGACACAATTTCAAAACTTTTCCATGATCTTTTAAGGACCCATAGTAAAATTTAATGAGCATTTACAATGTATAACATGAACAGAACTGTTGGTATACTTCACTCCAAAAGTTAATTATTGTAGGAAAACTAAACAGCAACCATTTCCAATATAATAGCTGGTTTATGTTTGTTACATTACGTGGAAGGTTATCATAGGAGTACTGTAACAATAAATTTCATTACACAACAACATTCTCAGACTTTGGTATGGTCCCAACGCAAGGGTACGCAAGTCAAAAATGACATCATGATGTATTTTGCGCAAAGCGCGAAGGATCCATAAGTTGTCTGTCATGCATCAAACCCTGTATCAGATAAACAGTTGTGATTGGCCTGGCCCAGGCCCGGTCGGCTGGAAATCTGATTGAACGGGAGAGGAACCAGACGCTAACCAGACACATCTCCTAAGAAGTTCCTAAAGGCTTTTTTAACACTCCTAAAAAACCTTCAAACTAATGAATCTGTTACTCCAACTGGACTTCTTGGATTTATTATTATTCATGTCTCACTGGTATGCGAAACTAAGTGACACCACTTTGTGGTGTTTCAGAGTAAGGCTGTCTTCGATCCGAATGCCGTCTCTGGCTGAGCCGGCTGGCTTTCTGCTCATCACACCTGAATACGTGAGCAGCACTGGTGTGAATCCAGCAGCAGCTGGGGAGCAGTCAGACAATAAATACAAACATATTCTATTCATGAAAACCTCCTGAAGCACACAGACGGCTGTGATTTTATATTTCATGACTGCATTTGATTCTGGATGTGATTCTGGATGAGAGTGTCTGCAGACGGGGCAGCTTCTGTCAGTGGAGGGATACATGCATTTTTTTATTTTTTATTTTTTATTTTCCCTTTTATTATGTTTATTGTTTTGGGGATGTCAGGCTGTTAACAGTTTCCAGTCAGGATTTATTTTATTTCCTCCCTCGGGAGCTTCGAGAAATGACACAGCTTCATTCTTTTATTTTCCGCACATTATCGAGCACGGAAGATGTGTGTGTGCTGTTATACTTCCATCCATGTGAGGACCTGTGTGAGTGTGGAGATCAAGGACATTTAGTGCATTCCTTTTTGAGGGTTAAGATGATTTTAGGATTGATAGAATTAGGTTTGGGTGGGGGTGTCCCAGCTCCCTTGGGTTTTATGAATCAAACATGTAACTGCAACATTCCCAATTTGAGTCTAGCTGGGGGCTTCTGTTGCATGACGTCTCCTTTCTCTTCTCATTTCCTGCCACCTCTCTACTGTCGCTATCAAAATAAAGGCAAAAAAAGACCAAGAAAATACATGTGTCGGCTCACCCAGTACACTCAGCTCTGTGTGTGCAGTGATGTTATGGTTCTTGTTGGAGGCTGTACAGCTGTAACTGCCAGAGTCGTCGTCAGTGACGCTCCTGATGATCAGATTACTGCCCACCAGCAGAGAGTACTTCTTATTCCTGCAGAGGAAGAAGGAGTGACGTTTCTTTTATTAGTTAATAACCTCCATAAAAATAAAAATACATGTTTTCTCAAAAACAGCTTTCATGCTTAAAGGATAAGTTGTACTACATTTTCCTCATTGTCAACAAATCCAGTGAAAAGACCAAAACCAACAATGTGTTATTAAGTCTCTCAGTACTTTTATGCTCCCCTACCCTATCTAAGCCCATTGCTTTCTACTGAAGAAGTAAATCTTAAAAATGGTTCACACATACTGTAGTTTCATGTTTGAAAAGGCTCAGTAATCTCTCAGAACAGTTGGTCCCTGTAGTTTTTAGCAATGTTTACTCAAACAAGAAGAAATAGTACATTTGTTGGGGACTATTTTCAGCGGTGGATTAATCCACATTTGGTGCTCTAGTGAGTATTCGTGGCAGCAGGATGGTGTATGTGGGAATGAGTCAAAATAAACTATAGCATGTGTGTTCATGGAACATGTCAGCCAGTGCAACAGTGTGGCTCACTGATGGTGCTTGACACCCAACACTTGATAGATTCATTCACTGTGTTTTTTAATGGTATTTATTGACAATAAGATAAATGGGCTGCAATGGGCAAAAGTATACACTGGGTAGATATTCATCATGGGGGTTATCATGTGGGTTAAGCATCTTCGGCTAATATGTGACATGAACAGACAGACAGTTAGGACAGACCAGCTCTGGATAAGTTCCTCTCCTCTTCTCCACTGGATGCTCGGTGTTGGGTATCCTGAAGCGGCACATTCCAGCACGGCGTCAGTTCCCAGCAGAACTGATGCTCTGGATGGACGCTGGAGGAACTGCAGGTTCCTGCTCACCCCAGGCTCTGAGGGAGACAGAGAGAAAAAGAGAAGAAAGTGAGATACTAAAACATGGTCCATATTTAGAGACACACTACATGGCCAAATGTATGTGGACACCAAAACATTGGAGTGGGTATGTCATAGTTGATCAGGTGATTATAAAACAAAATATAAAACTGTATTAAGTTTAAGACACAGTTTTAGTGTATTTTTGATGCAAGTCAGCCTGGTGTGGACAGTTAATGTGGTCGCTCTCCATGGTACTGAAAGGAGAGCTGATTCTGAAGACAGAGATGGACAGCTAATCAATATGCTTAAATGCACATCAGAATACAAGTTACTGGCACCCTTTTCTACCAACATGGAACCGGTTAAGTTCCAGTCCCTGCACCTAAGTTTTGAACTGTCCACAGCATTCCAACCAAAAATAAACTGGTTCAAAAACCAACGCCGCTACTAGACAATAAATACAAACATATTCTATTCATGAAAACCTCCTTAAGCACACAGACGGCTGTGATTTTATATTTCATGACTGCATTTGATTTTGGATGTGATTCTGGATGAGAGTGTCTTCAGACGGGGCAGCTTCTGTCAGTGGAGGGATACATGCATTTTTTTTTTTTCTCCTTTTATTATTTTTATTGTTTTGGGGATGTCAGGCTGTGCTGCTACTATCCCGGCACTACTGCAGCATAACAAAGTCTCACAAAGTCTCTCATTATTATTTATGTGAGAATGTTGTCAAGCACCATTTGGAGCAGCATCTCCAATTTTGAGACTCCTATTCTTATTTTATAGTTCATATTACTAATTATTTGTTGTGCATATACTAATACCAATACAGTTAACATTTTTAATTCTGTAAGAATCCTGTTTTAATATGGTATGTATCAATATATACATTCACTGTTCTTCACAAAGGCTTGTTGTCCTTTTCCTTAAAAAGACAAATGTACAGCTTTAATTTGAAGGAGTACATTGGCTTTAAGGAACAAGGAACAAGCCTTCTCAAGTTTAGGGGTACCCACAGAATCCCAGCCCACCCTTCCCAACAAGCTATGCTGACACTGTTGGTACCAATGGATGCCTAAGGAGCCATACACATGCCGCGCCTTTAACTGCCTGGAAGCAATTGTATCTGTGTGGCCATGGCCCCTCTGGCCCCCCCTTGACAGAACCACTGATGACTATGGCCGCTCGAGGGCATTGTAACTTCAACATCATCATTTATTCTTTTGGGTAATATGCTGAAACAAAATATTGCCGTAATTTTTCTTGGGAGGACAGTCTCCTATAGAGCCACATAGCTAACACAGATGTCCTGAATCTCATGGAGAGAGGAAGCCATTTACACCACAATATGTCCAAGTTTGTGAAATGTAGTGAAAACAACAAGGAGGAACATAGTACCAAAACTTCCAAAGGTACAAAAGTACATGGTGAATACATGGCCAAGACATGGCAGTACTCGTCTGATGGACAAACCAGTAGATGTTTGAATCCCAAAACTCAAATATCAGAATTGACTTCTGAAAAAGTTGACATAGGTCGAGGCTTTCGTTTCTTTATTGAGCTCTATTTAACCAGGGCATGTCCCACTGAGATTAAAATGATCTTGTTTTATGTTTTCAGAGTCACATCTTATATCAGCTCTCATGTAAGAAAAACTGAGGCCTGAAGACACACACACACCTGCACACACACTGTGGGTCAGGTTGTGTTTGCCCTCAGGTTGGCCTGAGGGCTGGTTGGTTCTCAAAGAAGGATGAGATGATTTCCTTCAGGAGACAGGAAGTTACATCAACATGCCCCACGGCACTCACACACACACACACGCACACACCTTCAACCTGAAATAATCCGTTAATCCTGTATTCAACCTCAACCATAAATGAACGTTTATCATTTCACCTCATTTCCTCAGCCGGAAATGAATCTGATTGAGCCGAGAGTAATTTAAGAAAATAAAAGCATTAATGTATGACTTTCAAACAAAAGGACATTTCATTCAACTTGATAAGTGTTTCATCATTTACAGGTCACACAGGGATCATTTTATGTTATTCTACATTTCACTGCATATATAATATTTTTTAATACAATAATTCATGAGTATTATATAACATTATGTAACATTTAGTACATTTATTACAAATTAATTGCTATATAAATACAAATATTTTTTTTTTTCTTTTTTTAATTTTAATTAATTTATTGATTATTTTCAAAGGAGTTATTTTATATTACTTAAATTTAATATTGTCTTTGCTGTATTCTATTTTGTTGTAGTTTTTGTATTCTACATAATTTCATTTAATAATCGGCATGATCTTGTAGTCCATTTTATATTTCATATTGTAGATCATTTGCATCATATTTTAATTTTAAGGGTTTACATATCTCAGTTAGTGTTGTCTGCAAACTATGTTTTTTATAATTTATATGTTATACCAGATTCTAAATTCTACAACTACTAAATTCAAATAATCAATATTAAATGAATTTCATAACTATGATTTATTCAGTGAGTGTTTTCTGCAGCAGGGACAGATCTGTCTGATTCAAATTCAGCATCTTTCTCTCTCTCTCTCTCTCTCTCTCTCTCTCTCTCTCTCTCTCTCTCTCTCTCTTTCTCTCACACACACACACACACACACACATACACACATAATAAATAAGATGTAAAGCTGTACGACCTCTGGATTTAGGAACAAAAAAGAAAACAAAAGAAACAGAAAGAGAAAACAAGATAATCAGCAGAAATGCGAGCAGTGAACATGAGGAGACAAAAGAAGAAGAAGCTGGAGAAGCGTCCACACAGCAGATTTTTTTTCAGTTGGTCACAGGGAAGAGTAAAGAGCGAGGGATCACAGAGATAATCACTGAACGACAGCGTGACTCCTTTAATGTTTTCACGGACACGCCACCAAAAGAGGCTGTCAGCAAATCAGATGTCACACAAGACGCCACATGCATCACAATGAGGAGGAGGAGCTGGGACACACTCTCTGATACCAACACACACACACACACACACACACACACACAACACCAATGCAGACAAAGACACACAACACTTAAATTGATTTGTGCCATATTTTTTTGCAATTCAAACATTGTGCACAATAGGTGAAATAAAAGTGAACTGTACCTCATCCTTATCTGTCCTCACAGTCTTTTCCCATTTCAGTGTATTTTTCAGGTGCAACTCAATATTCCTAAAGATAGCTATAACTACCTGCAACTGACATGGAATGCATAAGGCCTGGGACAGAGGGCTCTGCAGCGGGTGATTAAACCAGCCCAGAACATCATTGGTACCCATCTACAGTACCAGGCATCGCTATGTCGGTGAGGTGAGGTGCCTGCACAGAGCCCAAACGATACTTAAAGACAATACCAACCCAGACACAGCCTGTTCACGCTGCTGCCATCTGGCAAGTCATACAGAAGTACTCCCTGCCGTACCACCAGACTACAAAGCAGCCTCTCTCCTCAGGCAGTGAGACTCCTCAACTCATCCTCTTGTATTTCACCATAAACATTATTTTTTTTCTTGTGGAGCGTAAGGGGACTACAACTTGCAATTTGTTGCACAACCCAGTGTTGTAGAATGACAGTAAATGAACCTTGAAAATGAAGCCAATCAGATGATGATGAACTGATATAAACTGCTAATGTTTTCCACAAACAATGTTTCCTTACTGAGCTGAAGTGGAGGGACAGTAACACAGTTTCAAAAAATTCTACTGACTTATTTTCTTAACTCTTACATTGGAATCATGTTTGAAAGGCATCTCTTAACAGCCACTATTGATAGCACAAACCATTGCAGAACCGAAAACTGTGTCAGCGTACATACAAGTGATGTGCGGTTCGGGTCGGGCAGTTCAGGTGAGCTTGTTGGAAAACACTGCAGGTTTCAGGCAGGTGGGTCATAAAGTGAAAAAGCAGCGCCCTAAGTAACTTATTATAACGCACAGAAACATATGCAATAATCCAACTTTCACCTTCTTTTTACCTCTCACTGTACAACAAGCACTTTTATCATCAAAGCTGCTGTGCTCAGGCTTTCTGTTCTTTGGATTTTAACCAGGAAAATCTGTTGTAGTCTGACATATTTTAAATCTCTCCTGTCATAATGTCAAGTAAAATTATTTCCCTTTGCAAGTATGTAGGTCTTACATTATGTCCTAACAGCAGAAAGCATCTCCGTCCACACTGAATCCATTAAATATGCACTTCTGTAACATCATGTAAACAAATAGGATATCAGCTGTGCACTTGAGATAAAACTGGGGTGGGTACTTTGTGTCTTTCTGTGGTCTGTACTTTTTAAAAGATAAAACACACATTTTGTATTGTGATTTTTACTGGAAATGACATAAAATATAGTCAACAGTAAGTAGGTTGTTATCAGAAGTAGTCAGTACCAGAAACTTTCAGCTCTGGTTTGTACATTCACAGTTTAGGTTTGAGTCAACAATTAATGCATATGGTTATGGGTCAGGCTGGGCAGGTTGGCCCAGGGTTGGTGTGGGTTTTTAAAAAAAAACAAAACAAAAAACAACTGGCGCGCGCATCACTACAGTGTACATATGGGCATTCAAAGTTTGTTTTAAGCCAGATGTTAAAGATGGTGAAGTCTGTAGCATCCCAACTTGTTTTAACACTTTGGTTTTATACTGATTAAAGAAAAAAATATAACATGTTAATCAGTGAGCTCTGGAGGTGCTGGTAGGAGGATTTTGTTACTTTGGACACAGCCAGGCTCGCTGCTTGCCCTGATTCAGTCTTTATGCTAAGCTAAGCTAAGCTAAGCTAATTAGCTGCTGGCTCCAGCTTTATATTTAAGTTCAGGTACAAGTACAGACAGACACAAGAGTGGTTAGAGGAGTTCTATGTGAAGTTCAGAGCATATGAGTTGTCTGCATATGGCTCTAAACATGGAGTTGGCTGAGCGGCAGCTAGCAGCTATTGGTGCTAACCTAACACACAGTGCTAAACGACAGCAACAGTG